TGACCGAGTTGCGAGAACAAGGTCAAGCAACTTCTATACAACGAAAGGAGACTGTGACCACACAAAAGGCCAGACCATCTTGGTCTCCATACCTTCGATTATGCACTTTTATATTCATATTAAGTAGGTCCTAAAAGTATTAATAAATCTGGGATAAGAATTATAGTCACTCTAGTTTGCATAGGTTGACGAAGGAGTTATAGCTGCATTCATACACAATAATATGCTTAGGTCTCAAGTTTCCATTGAATTTCATTTTTCCCTGAATCCCCGAAAACGCTCTTACCTCGACTGGCCCGGACTACACTTTGGACATCGCGCCCCCAGACGGAGCCGAACTCAGGTACTGTAGCATGTAACCTTGATGTATGCTACCTTTCACATTTGGAAGAGCCCTGACCTTGGTTGAAATTCACGTTTCCTCTGTTTCTCAGGGACGCTTGTGGCAGTCTGACGTGGTGGTAAAATGTTGAGACTATTCGCTGCACTACCGTGACCCGAGTCCGAGTACGGCTTGAGTGCATGTGTGTGCGTGATTGCGTATCTGCGTGAGACAGTTTCGAGGTTTCGGCAAGATGTCTAGCATGTGAAGACACACAGAAATGTACCTGAAGCATGCCATTAAATGGAATTCATAGAAAAAATTAATTTCGCAAAGTGTCGACGTTTCCATCAATTGACGGGCATAGCTGTTTGATGCAATGTAGCCATACCAACTCGTTCGTTCAGTTGGCAAGGGCAATTTAGGTCCTGCCGACTGCCCAATGCGTCCCTACTCTGAACGCTTCTTCTCTTGGCACCTCGGAAACCCGTGGCTGAGCGGCCATTGTAACCAGCGCCACTTATCTTCAGGGCTCTCGGCGGGACTCGAGCCAGGAGTCGGCCTGTCTGGAAGAGGGCAAGTCGGCGACTAGTCCACCTCATACCGGAGTTAGACGGTTGCTAGGCGAATCGCCAGGCAGACGGTTCAGTCAATTCAGGTGTACCTTAGGCCAGTCTGGCGGATAAACAAACAGCTGCTCTGCCGATGGACCAAGTTAATCCAGGTCAGGCTGGCCTGCTTGTCTGGAAGTGACATCTTACCGTAAACTTCGAAGAGATTTTGCCTCCATCACACATACAACATTGGCCCAAATATGCGGGCGACATGAAGGCCCAGTCCCGCTGTCAAGGGTCTCTGCCCCAGAGCCGAACCAGACATCGTGTACCCTAACCATCTGATACGGCAAACACAAACGTGTGTTTGTGTTTGCCGTATCAGATGGTGCCGGCCAACTTGCTCCCACTCCCTCCTTCTTTGTTGTACAACTGGCTCTGGCATCTTTATATATTCTAACTAACCTTGCCAACAGTCGTCGGGTGAAGCTGACAATGATGCGACACGGAAGCATGCCCCAATTAGGACGGACGAAGCCCCAACCTTAGGAAGCATGAACTCGAGATGGGAAGGTGGAAATCATTTCGTTCGGCTTGACTAATTCAAAGAAAATTTCGAGACCAAAGCTACCCCAAGCTGGAATTTTGAGCCAACAGAATTCCAGTTTAGTCCGCTTTCCTATCGAATAAAAAGAAAGTCTGCCCATAATGTAGATAAGGGGTGGTTTGCATTTCGCATTGCAATTTAGACCCTGAAATTTGGCAAATTCAGCTTTCTCAGAGAGGAATTCGAAAGTGCAGTCAATCCTGTAGGAGAACTGTCTTTCGGAATGCATGCAAGAGCGAAATTTACTGCAAACATCAAACTGTGATTCAATTATAATTCACTTATGAACCACTTTAAACTGGTACAGATCGACAACAATCAGGCACTTTATTCCATTATTCTATAGTAAAATTGAGGAATTCATTTTTGCTGATGCAATTACTGCCTAAAAGCTGTAGAACTATACTAGTATCACAGACAAGTAAAGCAAGATATTATAATTTTCGGTTTGGTCGCAGTCTCCGTTTGCTGTGTTTTGTTGAGTTGACCTCATTTGCCTAATTTTGTTGTGGTGTCAGAGAGCGCTTGAACAAGACACCCAATCCTGTATTGTGTTTGTGCAGGATCCGAGCGATGACTTGCTAAACTCCCAGCCAGCGACATGGTCGGCAGCCTTGACGACAAACTATAACTATCTAAAATGACAATGTTCTGTTATTCCATTGTGGCATTTCTCCCCCCCTGTCTTAGCTCTCAGCACTGTGTTCCTATCCCTCATTCCCAATCAACAGGGCTAGTTTTCATAGTCAAACCTCTATATTTTATCAATTATTCTAGTATCTCTCAACAGCAATGAAGAAGACAATGAGGAAAAGATTGGATTCAGAAGAAGTCGATTGTGGTCAAAATAGCTAAACCACACCATAGAATCACTAAGTTGCAGGGCTATGTCCATTTAGGGACACAGATAAAAGGGATTAATAATGTCATTAAAGGAAAGTGATCGAGGTATAGATGAAACCACGAAAAAACTATCATCCTTAACTGAGCCTAGGAGACCTAAGGTAAATAAACTTATATTCAAGATTTTCGAATAGTCTCTAAAACTACTTATATCGAAAATAAGTAACGTCGTCGATTGGAAGGGAAAACTAGTATTTGCGCAATCTACAATCCCACTCTAAAATGTAAGTTGAGGGATGTTTGACTTGTCTTGAATAACGAATCCTCCCTGTGACCCAGTGGGGCATTTAAACATGGCGTAGAATGAATAGGTAACTTCATCACGAGACTCGCAACCAAATATCGAATCCGGAGTGAGATA